GTCAATTCTAGAGCACCTGAGTTAATAAAATCACCTGCTTTGCCTATTGTCCCAGTTTAAATTCTGTTGCTGTGATAAAATACCCCGAGAAAAACAACTTAGCAGAGAAAGGTTTATTTTATCTCTCTATTCAAACTTACAATCTGTAACAGCAGGGAATTCAAGGTGGCAGGCATTTGAAACAGCTTGTCATATCACAGTCAAATGCAGAAAGAGAGAATGGATGCATGTATGCACACCTCAGCCTACTTTCTACAATCTTCTCATACCTTCCAGGACCCAAGTATGGGGTGGTGACCCCCATAATGGGATGGATCTTCCCATATCAACTAGTGTCATCAAGACAGTCTCCTACAGACATGACCACAGGACAATCTGATCCTGAAAATTTCTCCATGTGACTCTTTCATGTGATTCAACATCGTGTCACATTTACAGTGAAAACCCTCTCATCTCACTTATAATACACACAAAGTATCTGAGGGTCTTCATTAATTAGTTTCTTTTTGTCCACATTCAAAGGTAAAATAGATGACCACTAAAACTTTTAAAAAGCTTGACAAGTAGAATTGTTTCATTTAGAATGGCAATCTACCTTTTATGAAAACTATATCTCACAGAGAAAAATCTATGTGTACAGATTTCTTCCAGTCTCTCACTAGAAGCATCCTCATTTATCCAACTTTCATCCAGAGATCTAGCAGCAAACCTGGCCATCACTTGGTTATCACTGGGAGACCTCCTCATTTTATCCTTAAAATTGTTTTGCTGATGTATTTGATCACATCATCAGTGAATGGAACTAAGATATTTTTATTTTCAGACACATAGCAAATTCACAGATGTGTTGCTTCTTTGTTACCCAAATTTATAGAGTGTGTTGTGAGAAAAGTTGGTGACAAAGTGACATTGAGCAGAGATAGAAAAAAAGAGAGAAAGTGAACTATTAAGATATATTGGAAGAAGCAGAGGCGTCACTAAATTTAATTGAGTTGACAACACATTCTGGTAGCTAAAATGGAAGCTGGTAGATGCTGGAGATTCTGTCCTTGATCCTGTGGCTAAGGGTGAGGGACAGAGGAGGTAAGCCATGTTCACAGTGTAGACACACTGTAGTAGTGAGTAGGTATAGTTTGGCCCAGTCTGTGAGAAAGATTCATGGCTGTGTATCTGGAGTTGGTTACTTGAGTCTGACCTTGATAAGACTGTTTACATTATTGAATGTCACAAGCTCTACAAATCAGCACTTTCTCCTCTTTTCAGACACAAATTTTAAACATTTCTTATTTTAACAATAGTCACGCTCATTTTAAACTCATCATTTCATGTGGCTAAGTGAAGAAAGATAAAGCAAAATGACTCAAACTCTGAAATTTCACAGCATTTCTATCATGAACAGCAGGGATAAGAAAAATGATGACAGAGACTATATTGACTTCAGAAAGCATATTTTTAATTTTGGGGTTTTTTTTTTGATGGAAGCTATCTGAGAATGCTTGGTCAAATAGGAAAAAGAGCAATTTTTATTCATAAAATTAGGATGTAGCAAATTAGAGAATATCAGTGAGGTTAGAAGTTTGGTTATAGTAGAATCCAGCAGACAGAAAGTTACAGTGAGGGCCAACCTATGTCAATGATTCCAGATCCCCAGATGCACTCAGAAAGGGACTCTTCACATTGTCAGGAGGTGATCAGAACAATGTCCAGACCCAAGATGAAGACCATGTGATAAGAATAAGTGGTTGACAGTCTGGGCTGGCTGAGGCATCTACAGGTCCATTTGATGCTGTGAGGCTCATGTGGGTAAAAGACACCCGTGGGCCAGCCTGTCTCCTCACAGTCTGGATTGGCTGAAGGCACCCTCACCTTGTACCCAGTGAGGAGGTACCACCTTGATGAGAATATATTTGATGGAGAAATGGCAGAGAAAGAGATGCAGGACAGTCAATGTGCTGTGAAAAGAGGCACACTGAAGAATCAAAGGTGATGAGGAACTGCCTGGTGTGGGTTGCCCACTTGCTACCTGGGACCAGGGTGACTCAGGGCCCAGACTGCTGCTGAGGACCATGTCTGGGTTCATGGTATTACCACAGCCAGGGTCTGTGTTGGTATGTGTGATCCATGTTGTCACCAAAGGCCACATTCATTTCTGGCTCTAGGCTACAACCTATGGCTGTGTTGGTCTCTGGGTCCTGTGCTGCCATGGTGGCCATGCCTATCTAAGTGACCTGTGCTGCCACACAGGGCCATGGTTGCCCAGGCCCAGGCTGCTGCCAAGAGCCATGTCTGGGTCTGTGGCTCTAGAGCAGCCAGGGTCTAGGTTGATGTCTGTAGTCCTACCACCACCTAAAGCCATGGGATGAGGCCATGTGGGTGTCTGAGGGTAATGCTGCTGCTGGGACCATACTGATCTGGGGGCCTGTGCTTAATTAATATTTTACAGAGTTTTCTTTGGGGGGGGGGATGCTGCAGGGGAAAGGGGCAGATATGGAGAGACTGGAAAGTGAGCAGGAATGGGGCATATGATGTGATGAAATTCCCATAGAATCAATCAAGAGTTACATTAAAAAAAAAAAGAGTTTGAATCTGAACACGATGTTTAGGGCAAACAGACCTCAAAGACACAACTAGTTTCTTCTTTGTCTAGAAGCCAAAAATGGCCTTGGGCCAGAGATAACAAAAGTTTAGAGGCTCAGATCCTGATCTCACTTGTAAATCTTTCAGGGTTACCTTTTCAAGAAGATGTTAGAGTAGGTATAAGGGCCCATTAAAGAAAACTCACGGTTAAGAGAACAGAATCTGTAGACTGGGTGAAGACCTAACATTCCAGGTGGTCAGGTTCAATCACCAGGACAACGGACCCTCTTAAACCACACTAAAGAGACAGGAAGAAAAATTTTTTCTGCAGAGGTATGAGGGTGTAGCACATATTCAATCCGAGGACTCAGGAGGCAGAGGCAAGCGGATCTTGATGAGTTTAAGGTTAACCTTGTCTACTTAGCAATATACAGACTGTCAATGCTATAAAGTAGACCCTGTGTCAAACAACAAAATACAAAATTTCCCATTCATTCATATACTAAACATTTCCTTCTCAGAATTCTCCCTACACTGAGGCAGGTAAGGCTGAAAGCACCCTGCCACACCTTAAGCAAACCAAGAGTTGTGACATGCGCAGTGGTGTCCTGACACAGAGGAGCCTGAAACTGGACCCCGAAGATGACAACTGCTGATGTAAGACCCAAGGCCAAATCAAGAAAGGCCGCAATAGCCATAGAGAGAAAGCCCACCAAACAGCACCCACATAAATACCTCAGCCCTTTGTTTAATAAATGAGACTACTTACATACCTCCCAAAGTGTGTGCTGTTGAATCTGCGTCTGCTCATCCCCTGCCCCTGGGATCAGAGACAGTGGGATCCCAGCTGCAAAGCCATCAACACTACCCAGTGCAGTGCCTACATGGTATGTTGAGGTTCAAGTGGGTCTGTCTAACTCAGTGTGGCCAGATCAGACTAAACAACACTTGCTTTTTCTTTCTGTCTGTCTCTTTCTTTTGGATTTGGGATGCTGGTTGAATCTAAGTATAACTTTCCTGATACTTTAGGCTTCCTTACTTTTTCTCTTAATGCACCTTTTCACCATGTGGAAGTTTGTTCACCTTGTCTGACCTCCACGTCTTCTTAAACAGCATGAGTATGTTTTCCCTTTATTCCTCCATTCTCCTCCTCTGTGAAGTTGCTGAGTTGTATACCTTCCTGAACTTGGAATTTTCCCTCAAAACTTAACAGATTATTTCACTTGAGTTCACCTTAAATTCTTTTATTACTGAGATTAAGAACCCCAAGAATAGAATCCAATAACAACAGCATCAGAACTGTGAGCTATCAATGTTTATGGGGGAACAATAGGGAATTCTAAGATGGAACTGTCCTTGTAAGGGAGGCATTTGGAGCAATCTTCCACAGCTTCTCAACAACTTCTTGTAGTCTGAGCACCTATAAGAAAGGTGATGTCAGATACTCATGGTCTGATATGGCAGAATGAAGAGAAGAGCTGTGGAGAATCACCTCTTATTCAATACTGTTTTCATCATGTACATATTGTACCTGAGTGCTGCAATGTTCCTGGTACTGCTCTCCTCCCGTCCTGAGTGGATGTGGTGCCCATGTCACAAAAGTGTCATCTCAGCCTAGTCCCTGAGTCAGTCTTTCTGAGTCTATTCTTTATGATCATGGAGAGACCAAAGCAGAAACAGCCCTTATTACAGGTCTTTGGAACTTCTAAAAATTGGTCCATAATGTAGATAGCTGTTTTCCATGAATCCTAGTCCTCCACTTTCTGTGGTGACCTCCAATAGGGACAGTGAGGCAATACCCCACATCCTCCCCAGGGCCCATGTGCTTCACTTCCTTTAGGCCTCTTTGGATGCCTTTATTGATCCTCAACTGAAAGCTTCCTGAAGGACACACATACTTCTTGGGAGCTTGGGATATCTCAAAGGGTCCCAAGAGATTCCTTGAGGATCCTCAGCAAGATGTCATCACCTCAGATGATAAAAATGTTTCACAAATGCCTTGGCCCTCTTACTGCCCCTGCCCCTTCTTTGTTAATCCAAAGACTGATAACCCCCTGGTGGTTTGAATAAGAAATATTCTCTATATTTTAGGATATTTGAATGCATGAGTCCCAGTTGATGGTACTGTTTGGAGAGGTTTAGACACTGAAGCCTTGCCAGAGAAAGTATGTCACAGGAGGTGAGCTTTGATCTTAAAAAGCCTTGTGACACTTCCAGTTTATTTGCTCTGTTTAATGTTCTCCACAAGGATGTGAGCTCTTCGCTCCCCGATCTTCTTCATGCCTCTCAGGTTTGATGGACTAATATGACTCTGGAACAGTATGGCCAAATAAACCCTTTCTTCTATAAATTGTTTTCATCATTTGTGTTGTCACATCAACAGAATAGTAACTAATACAGCCTCCAGCCCTCCTAACTTACAGTCAGGCTTTCTGCTTCTTATGCATGTAGATGGCAAAGGCACCAATTACCAGTAGCAGTTTGGGTGCAAGGAGCACAGCTACAAGGATTTCAGCAGTATCTGATGTCTTCAGTTCTGGAAATCAAGTGGTAACAGGAACCATTAGAGAGCATACAAGGAGTTTGTCATCAGAGATCTTTACCTGGCCCATTTATGGATTCCCAAGTACATTAAAGTATCGGGGACTATGGGGGTCCAGCCTCTCGATAGTCCCCTCCCAGGGTCCGGGAAGAATCTACAACCAGCTGATAATTAATCTTTGATGGGAAGAAATGAATCTATGTACACGAAACTCCTTAGTCCATAAACTTTATTATTCTGTGTCAGTTACAAGCTTATATTCTGCTCTCATATTTAGGTCTTTTTTTGCCTGATTTCTCTCTACACTTGTCCGCGGTCCCCTCTGGGTTCTATCTTAATTCCTTCATCTTGTTCTGCCCCTTCTAGGGTCTCATCCATCTTGTTCCTTCCCATATCATCTTTTCTCCCATCTCTTTCTCTCTCCTCATCTCGTTCTTCCTCATCTTGTTGTTCCCCATCTGGCTCATCCTCATCTTCCATCTCATTCCTCTAGTACTCTCTTCTAGCCCTTCAATCTTATGTTTTTGGTTGTGAGCCTAGCCTTTAACGGCTGAGCCATCTCTCCAGCCCCTAGCCCTTCAATCTAGTTCTTCCCCATCTCAGTTTGTTCCTCTCAAGTTCTTACCCGTCTAGTTCTTCCATTCTCTTTTCTCTTCTCCTACCCTCTGTCCTGGAGGTCCCGGTATATAAAAGGAGGGTCCGAGCTAAATTGTGTAAAGCTATTACTTAACGTCCACCTGACCTAGGCGGTGTCTCCTTGTCCAATTTACCTTAAGTTAGGAGACTTGTATGTGGGCTGTTATCACTGTTAGTCCTTGGAAATTGGGCGACCACCTGGGCGGTGTCTCCTTGTGGAATTTACCTTAAGTCAGGAGACTCGCCTGTAGGTGGTTATCACTGTTAGTCCTCGGGAGTTGGGCAACCACCTGGGTGGTGTCTCCTTTAGTCCTTGAAAGTGGCTAGGGGAGATATCTGATTCCAGAGAAAGCCTTTCCTGAGGCTGTTCTCCAAATGCCTGGAATGTGTATGTCTAGAGAGTGATCAGTCCACATTGTTAGCCGTTCTTAGGGAAAAGTCAATTGGGAAAACTATGAAGGCACACATGATTTTCATAACAGAAGACAGCTGATATATAACAAGCCAAGTAACACCAAAAACTCCTTGGGATTTGGCTTCCTCTGGAGGAATTCCCTGATTCCTCCAGGTAGTGACTTTGCCATAACCAGCTGAGTTCTTATGATATATTTCTGCGGCCCGCAGCATTAAAGCTCTGAGGAATTTGAATCTGTGCTCTATCCCAGCTTCAATACTTCAAAGCAGAAGATAGAGCAAAGAGATTTCAAGTTACCCACTGGCTCTGAGATAGGTCAAGAAGGTTCCCTTCTAGAGAGATTGGATAAGATTTTATGCTCAATGCCACTTAGCACCTGGTTTTTATAAACAAAAATTCTTATAAAGAATCTGAACCTTCAAACTGAACCTTTTGTAATGATTATTAGCTTTTTGAAATTCAGTGAATTGGAGAGTGTGACATGTTGCAGGTCCAGAGCCAGATTATCTTGGGTCATATTCAGCTCTCTTAATATCCATCCATACATTGCCTTCCTCTGTACTTAACATAACAGCTTTGTGACCATTAGGTTAATAATTCAGAATGTACAAGCAGAAGATAGTTTTCCTTTAGAATGTATTAACTTAGCAGACCACTAGCTTCCACCAACCCTGATGCTTAACATGCCATCTGATAGCATCTGAAACCTCTAGCAGGGTTTTTCTCTGTGTTATAACCCATTCATTCCATGTTCCCACAAATGTATTGCAAAAGTGTCTTGACTTATGACTTCCTTTGTTCTATTCCTACAAAAATTCCATAGAAGATCTTCCACAGTGGCCTTTGAGGTGACCTATATCTGTGTTCCTGGGCCATGGCCACTCATATTTTGATCTAGAATGAATTATTGGGGTTTAAGGATTATTATTTCCTCTTCAATGTGGAATCTGATCTGTAGGTATGGTCACAAAGTTAGTGGGATTCAGAGAAGCTCCTCACTGCTGGTATTTAGGATGATCCTTGGAACATTGTCCTTGGAAAAGACAAGTTCAGTCTCTCAATAACCCAGAAATAACTGCAGAGGTAATGCACAAGAAGATGATACATTGAGAGAAAGAGTTTAACAGAGTGCCTTGTTTAGATAAAGGAATCCTGAAAAAGTCCAGATTCTTGGGGTAAGGCAGCCTGCTGAAGTGGTAAACAGCCTGATCAAGCTACTTGCTAAAAGCATGCAGATGAAGGACAAAAATTCTATAGATGAGTCTATCAGAATAGATGTCATGGTTTGGTGCTTCAGCCATCATACAGCTCATGTCCATCCCAGTGTAGATGCCTTCTAAAATATTTCTGTTGTTCAGGAAGTAGTACTAATTTTGAAATTAATCAAAGATTAAAATTTGGTTTTAGAAACAGAAACAGGCAGGTTAGGTTGTGCATTGGTTGTAGTGTTTAACTTTAATTGGGTTCCTAGGTTCAATCCCCAGCACAACAACAACAACAACAACCAGCCAACCAGTTTTTTAGCCAATGCCTATAATACTAACACTAGGGAGGTAGAAACAAGAGGATCCAAAGTGTGAGTTCTTACTAGCTCAGGTTTCCTGAGACAGTGTCTGTAACAGATAATTTTAAATGTCCACTTCACACAACCTAGAATTCTAGGAAGAGCATTTCAGCTAAGGAATTGTGTAGATATGGTTGACCTGTTGGTGGGTGTGTGGACCATTGTCTTGGCTGTTAATTGAGATGGTAAGCACCAATGTGAGTGTGGGTGGCAACATTTCGTAAGACACAGGGCTCCACACTGTAAGAATAGTAAAGAAAGCTAGGTGAGCATCACACAGCATATTGTAAGGCTGCATTTGTTTCTCTCTGCTTTTATCTGCGCGTGTGATGTTTGAGTTCCTGAATTGACTTCCCTTGTGTATCCTGGAATGGTGATTTAAACAATACATTTCTTTGCCTGAGTTTAAAATAAAACTATAACATTGCCTGAAAACACAAACAAACAAACAACAAAAAAGACAAAACAAACAAGAATTAAATATGGTCTTGATAGTGCCTTAGGAAGAAGCAAACACCCAACTTCATGCAGTGGAGTTGAGATAGGAATTCTATGTCTCTTCCCTCCTCTTCAGCCTGAAAAATTCTCAATGGCCATCCTGTGCTCCAGCTCTCTGAGGAGTTGCTGTGTCTTTTGTTGTCCCTGCCCTATGATCCCATGGCTCCCTGTGTTACACAGGCTCTTTCATATCTGTGTTAACATCACAGTGTTCTGGATAGGTCTGCCTTCCTACATTCACTATAGAATACTTCCATGGGATTCTGATAGGGAAAAGTCATCTGGATAATACACTCAAATAAGAGAATTTGGAATTTGATTACTGAAGTGTCTGGCACTGAAGATCCCAGCACTAAAGGTCATTGTTCCCAGGGCTTGTGGTAAAGGTGAAATTGTTTAAATTAAAGTAGCAGACAATAGTTATCCATAGAAAGGTAATTCTTTTGCATCAAACATTGAAGTGACTTGCCTCCCACCTTAAGGAACCCAACAAGGCCAAACTAAACCAGGAGCAAGTTGGGTAAAGGAAATACTATCCTGAGAGTAACAACAAAAGCCTAAGTAAACTTCAAGTCAAGAGAATAGAATCTCAACTTGGGCCATAGGAGGCCAAATTATACATAAGTCATGATAAAGGGGTGGAATAATTAATTGTTCCTTTAATGAGATGCTGCCCTTTTTGTTCCCAGCATTCCTTCCCCCAGTACAGTACTTCCCAGCTGAGCTGCAGTGAAGTTCACCTTTCTGAGGCTTGATTAAGAAGGGACAACTTTTTCCCCCCACTTTTTCCCTATCTTTCTCTTGCTTTCTCTGGTACTATGGGCTGCAGTATTTTCTACAACTCCCTCCCCACCTGTTGTTCACCATGTGTCTGGACTCTGCTGGCTAGAACAACATGGGAATTTTTGTTTGTTTGTTTCTGTTTTTGCTTCCCCTTTCTTTTCTACATTATCAACCTCTGGGAGTCTGATGAGATTTAGACCTTGCCTGCCTAAGGGATTTTTCACTTTCATACTCTAATTAAATCCTCATTGAGCTTCCTATCCTTTGACTCCATTCTTAAGTGAATGGCACTAAGAATCCCAAGACAAGACTCCAATTTCATTTATATCATTTGATGACCCATAAGTTATTTCCACAAATTTTTATAATAATATTGAAGGGAGAACAGTAGAAAATTAATGAAATGGAAACTGAAAAATAGATATGACCACTTAAAGAAGTTTTTTGGAAAAGGAAAATATTAGAAATCTTCCAGAAAGCCTGATGAAAGAGATATGATAAGTTTTCCACATCAATACCTAGAGAAGAACACTTTATAATTGCATATACACTTAGACTTAAAAAGGACAATATAATCATCTAATAAATTCTATAGCAGAAGTATGAAAACTCAGAAAAAAATGGACAAAGAATTCTAAACTTATTTTTTACTGGTCTAACTGTGAAAGGTGCTACTTTTTGAAGAACCTAATTTTGTATCACATAGGGAAGTCTATAAAGTAATTTTGAAAATACAGTCCATTTAAAGTCATTGTTGTGAATTATAGTTAATTTCATTGAATTTGTTGATGGTATTGGATTTGAATGTAACTATTCATTTACCTGAGCATCCACTGGGGACTGCATTTAGAAGTGTTGAACACACATGACAGATCCATCAGGGGGTATAATTATGCAGCACCTTTATAGTTCATACTCTAAGGGAGCTGGTACTTTCTAAACTTTACTGTTTAATGGTAATATAAAAAAATATTTGGTGACCCATTATTCATCCAGCAGATAAAGCTTCACAACAAAGACTTTAAAAACCTATGTTTTTAAAAAGTCATAGGAGTTGATGGACACACTTGTTTTTTTTTATGATGGGGAAATAATACATATTCATGTAAAGGGGTCTCTATCTAACTCTGCCCAAGTCCTAGGATAGTAACAAATCAAGAGGAAATACTTAACTAGAAATTTGACCTTATGCACTCTCGATGACCTTCCTCCCAGGGACCTTAGATTTCCCTTCATTACATTAGACCACATCACGTGGTCTCAGGGCAAGAACTCAACATCCCTATTGCTTTACCATTCCTAGATTCCATGTCTGTAAAAATGATGACTCATTAGGTGACTGAATGAGGCAGATAAGGCCGAAAGCACTGGGCCATGCCTTAAGCAAACAAAGAGCTCTAACATGCATAGTAGTATCCTGACCCAGAAGGCCCTGAAACCAGACCCCCAAGATGACCACTGCTGACATAACGACCCAGAGCCAACCAGGAAACACCATGGCAGCTGGAAGCAGAGCCTGCCAAAAAGTACACACATAAATACCTCAGTCCTTTGTTTAATAAATGAGATTGCTTACAATCTACCAGAGCTTGTGTCGCTGGTTCTGCATCTATTCACCCCCTACCCTGGGATCAGAGACAGTGGGACCCCAGCTGCAGAGTCAGCAACAGCTGATGAATGGCAAGAGATCACAGTCAAATTGAAAGCTGCATGTACTAAGTGTAAGCCAGGGTCTGGATACATAGATATCTGTCCTTTATAACAAACAAGGAGGAAATGAAGCCCCTGTTATGACCACTCAGTCAGCTGGGTCCAGATCCACACTAAAACTACAGGTCCTCAGAAGCCTGTCATAATTACACTCAGGAGGTAGCACAGGACCCTGAGTGAGGTCCAGATGTTCACGGAAAAGTGTAAAATGGAATGGAGACAGGGAAGATATTGAAAAGAAGAAAATGAACATGAGGATATAACAAATGTTAGGTAAGAATTCAAGAGACAGAATGCTAGGCTAAGATGATGCCTTCCTGTCTTCCTTATTTAATATCTGTGAATATCAGCACATCAATGGAGAGATGTGTGAGACCTGTGAGAAGCTGGCAATGAAAGCTAACTTTAACATTTTACTTGGTTTGTAGATATTAAGATTATCATACAGTAAGCATAAATTCTGCCTTTGATATTAAAAAAAGAGGGAAAATTTACAAACATTCAAGAAGCTGGGGTGGAGACACACCAGACATAGTGCCAATACCTTGCTCACTGCGATGTGCTCTGGTCATCACAGTGTGATTTTTAATGACTGGTGGTTGTCCATCATGCTCCACCAGGCAGCTGAGTACCAGGTCCTCCTCATGAGCACATCTGTTCACCAGGAGCCAGCTGGTCCAGCTGTAGGTTCCATCCTTGTTGACGGTGAGTGGAGAAGGCTCTTCTGTCCAGGATATATTTCCATTCTCTAACCAAATCAGTTGTAGTCTCAAAGGGTAGAACTTATTCACCTGGCAGCTGACATTTATCTGCTTCCATAGCACTGATGGGTGCTGGCTGATCTCCACAGTGGGTGGAACTGAAAGAGCACAAGTAGAAGCTGAGACAGACAGAACCTAGACAGACAGATGCCAGAAGTGAGGCTGAGTACAGAGGAACCATCTCCATTGTAAGTTCATCCTGGGGACAGGATGAGCATTTGTGTCAGAGTAGAACCCCTAAACACAGCTCCTGACACATAGATGCACACAGTGAGTGTCATAATCTGTGAAATTAATAAGCACAATGCGCAAGTACACTGGGAAAGCTATAACAACAGTAAAATGAATGAAAATACCAGGAATGAGTGAAATGGCTCATAAATTGTATAGGTATAATTACTTTTGTTAAAATAAATACATTGTTTTAATGTGCTGGTGACAGTCTATGATTCCCACTGCCATATGGTGTGCATGAATGCATGTTGGGAACTATGGACAAAACCATTCTGAACAGATATGAGCTTGAGCTGGGATTCAGAGTCATTTACCTCGGATGGTGTCAGACAAGTTGGCAGTCCCATGGAGAGGGCCTCCTTTCAAGGTGACATGGGACACCTCACAGATGACTTGAGAGTGGACATCCTGAGGGCTCAGCACCACCTGGGCTGTGCTGGAGAGATTGTAGGAGACGCTTTCTCCTTTGGGGTCCAAAGTAGTTCTGAAGCGAGAGAGCTCATTTCCATCTTTGAACCACTTAAGTGTGATGGTCCGAGGAGAGAAGCCATGGGACTTGCACGTGAAGCTCACTGTCTGCCCAGGACTAACTCTGCCACCAGGGCCCAACACCACAGGAAGAGATGGTTTAGCTACAAAGGAGCATGTAGACAAGGATGTGATTGTGATGCCACCACTGTTGAAATAACATTGTGAGGACCCTTCATAGGTATTAATCTCATTGTCATTGTTTCCAATGGTGCTTTGGATCAATTCCAGAGCTTCAGCCATACTGAGGACCTGCTCTACTTCAAGGTGACCGCTGTGTCCTAGACACATAATTTTACTGTTTATCCTCCTCATTTTGTTTTTTGTTTTCTGGATATTTGTTTTGGCAGGGTTAGTCCTGGTCCTTCTGGGGTATTCTTTATTCTTTTATCTCCAGAGTTTGGCAAAGATCCCCACCAGTAAATGAGGAAAGGAAAGGCCAGGTAGAATTCTCAGCCTGGGCAAAGGAAGGCATTCACCAGTGTATTTTATATTTTCTATCATCTGCTCCTGCTGTCTTCCTCTGGAAACCTTGCAAATCTAGGGGAAATATTTGTAGATTCACATCTATAGTAACCCAGGAAATAAATGACGTCACAGAGGGACCACAAAGCTGGAGCCCTTCCTGCTTCCCCGGTTGTTTGCTTTCTTTCCTGAACTACATGCTAGTAGGTCTCAACTGTGCCGAGTCTGAATTTAACATTGAGAGCTCACTAGTCTGCATCTCCAAATGGGCTTCAGGTGGACTTAGCTTGAGGTTGAAAACAGTGCTTACCCTCTGCAGAAGAAGCTAAATGTGGTTCATTTCCTAATGGTTAATCATAAGAGACACAGGTGTGAACCTGTTGAGCAGACAGGAACACTCCCTGGTTGGAAGCACACATATAGGTGGAGTAGTGTGAGGGAGGCAGTGTGCTGTGTAGATAACTTGTGCTGAAGTTATCATGTGTAACAGGCTGCATTTGAAAATATCATTACACATTTGTATTTCTACATATGTGATCCCTTCTCTAATGTCCATCAAATCAGGATTGTAAACAGGTGTTATTTGAAGTCAAGCTGCCTAAACTCTAGCACACCTGATGTCTCTATAGGTTTGAGGTAAGTGGTAGACTGAATGTAATTTGCCCCCATAAGCTCATAGGGAGGGGTATTATTAGGAGATATGGCTTTGTTGGAGTGGGTATGGCCTTGTTGGAGGAAGTGTGTAATTGTGGGGATGGGCTGCTTAGTTCAAATACATTCAAGATATGTTCAGTATGACACACATTTCACTTCCTGTTGCCTGTGGGTCAGTATGTGGGACTCTCAGCTTATTCTCCAGAACCATGTCTGCCTGAGTGCTGCCTTGTTGTTCCATGGTGATACTGAGTCAAACCTCTGAAACTGTAAGCCACCTCAATGAAATGTTTTCCTTTGTAAGAGTTACTGTGCCCATGGTGTTTATTCACAGCTATTGTAACCACAATTTAGAAAGAAATTGGTACCAGGGACTGGCATATTGCTGTGATAGGCCTGACCATATGCAGACACTTAGTCTCAGTCCTCTCTCCTGCAGACCACTGCACTACTGAAGCCCTGTAATGACCCTGACATTGCCATCTAGGATTCATTCATAACATTGACCATGGAACATGGCTGTCATCTTCACAGAAAGGGAAGCTGAGGACTGCACAGAGAGCAAGGTTTTCTCTCCCATGGCTTCTTGACGCCAGTCTCTTAGCAACTCTGTGGATAGTCATAGCACCCTCACAAAGAGGGTTCAGGTATATACGTTGTACAGGAAGGGAAACCGTGCTTCAAATTTAGAGTAAGTTAGCCAAGGTTTTACAACCATAATGCCACCTGGTTTGGGGGGAGCTGCTGTGTCACATGATATACACAGGAGCAGCCTTTATCTCTAAAGGGTCTGTGGTCATCACCAGGCCACAGATGAGGACACTGAGGCTGAAACAGAGACTCTGTCCCCACTTCCCTGCTGCGTCTCAGAGGCCATTTCCTGTGCCCTCACTTTCATTTACCACAACAAAGCAACTGTCCCCATTTCTGTAATCCTGCCTCTGACTCTGACTCTTTTCTAAGAACCCAACTTGAGGAATTCTAGACCAAATCATTGTTCTAGGTGGCTCCAGAAAAGAGGTTCATGTTCCAGGGCCCCCAGTCTCTGGCAGAACCTTCCTTTTTTCTTCTCGCATGGACAGACCATACTTTCAAGACTGGGCATAGAAGTCAGCTCAATTCTGTGGCTGCTGCTTAGGGAATAAGCTATGTGGGATGTATACCATGTATGCAGCGTTGGTTTATGAGTCAGGATGCTTTGGTCAATTCTTGATTCTTCCTCACCTGCTCACAAGTCACGTGTCTTTTATGAACCTCAGGCTCATCTCTCAAGGGAAGAAGTGACGTCTCTCCTATAGCACATGGTTAGGGAGAAAATGATATACTAGAGATGTGGCACATAGCACATTGTATTTTGATCTCCTCCTTACATGTACTTTCTCATCCAGGGCATCCTTAGGGCAAATGACACAGCAGATGAAATATCACTGCAAGGCTATAGATTGCAGCTTATCTGAGCCACTTGCTGGTTGGGGTTGCCTAGGCATTGCATTACTTCAGTGTCCTTATTTGTGACATCTATCGAGTTAGGATGAAGCCATTCTCCCTGTCACTCTCCATCGAGGGGTTCTGAGAAGTCTTGCTACAGCTGCACACCGGTGAGCAAAGGGTGATATCTTTATAAACTAGTTCACCCTGAGACTCAGCAGGCCCTGACCAGAGGGTGTGTGCCTTATGGTCAGGACTGTGGTTTTATGAGATCATCCACTGTGGCACCACTTGAGTAGTGACAAATTGAAACACATGAAATGTTCCTGGTTTGGGATCTGAATTAGTGTATCTGTAGCTGCTGGAATATGATGCTTTGTTTACACAGGGGAACAGTTCTTAGTTCTGACATAGAGTGAGGTTGTGGCTGACATTGGGGTAGCTTTCCCATCACTACTATTAGCATCTGACTGTGAGGAACATTTTGCCACCTTGGGGAGCTGATGATGAAAGGAAATTCTGGCTGAGTTTGAGCAATTTTGACTCAGCATTTCTTATGCATCAGGCTTCTCAATGGAGATAGAGTCAGATGTGGGTTCCAGGACAGATCTCAGCAACAACTGACTACATGATCACAGTCAGGGCACTAGAACACAGAGCTCACATCTCAAAGAAGACTGGACTTGGTATTCTGACTGTCCTTCATGCTGAAAAATTCTCAGAATCTAGACCTAGAAAGAAGATTTCAGGCCTCTGTCAGGAAATTCAAAGTGAGTGTCCTGTTGCCTCAGCTGGGGATTGGAGGTCATCCAGTTGGAGACTCCCATAGACATAAGCCTACATTGCTCAGAACCTTCAGTGTCTGAGAGAGTTGGTACCTGACACAAAACTTTTTCAGACAGATCTAAGGCAAAGGCCTAGCATCTAAACCAGGTGAGAGATTCCACAGGGAATGTGGGCACATTGTGAATGCTCCCAGTGTGCTGTGGATGAAGAGGAAATGAGAAAACCAAGCCACCATGCCCTGGCCCTGTTACTTTCTGCTGTGGTTTGTTTTTCCTCTTGGGAGGAGGAGACAGACATCTTGGGTAAAGAGCTCCTGCTGGCCTGGTTACTGCCATATCTGTTGACAGCTAGAGTGGAATCTGGCATACACTCAGCCCCAGGTTGTATGGGGAGAAAGAGAAGACTTAATCAGTAGGGGAAGTACACTCTGGAGGCAGTCGGCCAAGTCTGACTCTGTCACTGAACAAGGCACTCAGTTCTCAGGGTTTTATGGAGGCACTAGCCTGAGACAGATTGAGAAAGGTAAGCATTGCCATGCAGACATTCCAGGGTATGGATTTACCCCCATTCACTTGACGGGGGACCTCTAGCAAATAGCATGTTCTCTCTTCTCTGGTTTTTTTTTTTTTTTTTTTGGTCCACAGTTGGGATAAAGTCACCCTATGAACTTGAGTGGTCACTTGCAGACTTGCTGCTTTCTTGCTGCTCACAGAATCTTGGGCACATTTTGACCTGTTAGAGATATCAGGGATGAGGACAAAGCGGTACTTACCAAGCACATACAGCACTGTGCCTCCCCCAGACAGAATCTCCTTGTCAGAGTCTGCTTTCTGGAACTTCACACAGTAGTAGGTACCAGAGTCAGCAAGTGTGACATTACTGATGCGAATGGAAAGGTCCAGGTTGTTTCTCTTTGTAACATCTGCAACATTTGTGACTCTGGGGAATCGCTCTCCTGTGAAACTATATATTAGGTGCCGACTCTGCCCTGTACCCCTGAACCACTTCACAGGCCCCACAGGGAACAAGGAGGTCACGGTGCAGTTCAGAGTGGCTGAGTCTCCAGCAGAGACAGAAACTGATTTCTCAGGTTGAATCACCTTCAGCTCCCATGTAGCTGCTCCTGCAGGAAACATCATTTAGTGCTCATCATGATGGGAACCCAGAGGATCCTCTAGTTTGTGATCAAACATTGTTTCTTACTAGACCTCAGCATGTTGCAATCACAGTCTCCTCACTTGGCTTTCTTAACAAAAGAATGTAACCACAAGGGAACTGAGTCACAGAGACACTGAGAACTTGGCAATATTCTGATTGAATCCCCAACTCTTTTTGGAATTCTCATGTTTCATCCAGTATCTGTTTGGTTCTCATTTTCTGTGCACATGGCATATGGCACTTCTTAAATAATAGTATTGGATGTGATTACCCGACTCTTTTAGAACAGTGAGGTGTGAACTTAGTGCTTTGTATAATTAATGAGATGTAGATTTTATTACAAGTTTCTCTGGGTCAGGCCCTCAGTTCTTGATAGGATTGCTTTATTAGGTAGAGTTATAATGCCATAGATAGGTCCCAATATGCAATAACATGCACCTTAATTAGCTAAATGAAACCTTGGCTTAAATTACCAGTTTTTAAAATATATTATAATAATTATATTAATTAACTAATTAATTATATGTGTGTGGGTATTTTGCTTCTGTGCATGCCTGGTACCCAAGGAACCTAGAACAGTGTCAGATCTCCTGGAACTGAAGTTACTGAAGAT